GCCTTAACCGAGCATTTCCACTCTCACACTGCCTCTGGGAATGCTGGGGGTGGCAACAATTGCTCACTCCACACATTACAGAGCAGCTTCCCAAACATGAAAGGCAGTGCAGGCTGGAGTAGAGGCTGTGGGAAGCACAATGGCTCGGGATTGCTCACACAGCGAGGACATGGATGGGACACAGGCCTTTGCTTTCTGGCCCTGGCTGAAAAAACCCCAAGCCTGTACCTGCATTAAACACAGCAGCACTTGTAGCAGAAAACCTCCCCCAAGCCCTGCAGTGGCTCCCCCACTCCATGTCAGGGCAGGTGTTCCAGGGTTTCCTGAGCACACGTGCCTCTGAACGCTGTGCTGAGCACACCTGAAGAGAATTGATGCTGAATGTACCTCCCCAGACAGCACAACACAGCACACTCCACATTCCCTGGTTTTAATCAGAAAGAAGCCAGGATTCTTTTTGTACATTACTCTGAAGAGATGGCATCACATCCTGCAGGAAAAGCTGTCTTTACAGATTAGCACAGGCTTGTGTGAAATCTTGAGCAAGTCATATCCAGATTCATCCTGGCTGCCTTTAGCACCTAAATGATGCTGCAGTTTTTGGAACTGGTCACCTCAAACAGCACCACAGAGAACAGAAAGGTGATGTCAGAGGACTGCTCTGAGCTGGTGTGGGCTGAGCCATCCCTTTCCTCTGATTCAGGTGTGAACACTATTTAATCAATGCCTGAAATTAGGATAAACCTGGACCCTAATGCCTCTGCATTACTCAGCTATCTCAAAGGGAGCTGCATCAACCTGCTGCGTTCAGGCTGTGGATGTGAGGGATGAGCTGTGTGTCTCCCCAGACACCTCCGAGGCAGACACAGGCCTTTCCCAGGACCCTCTCAGTCACTCCTGATGCTCTGGGGCTGCTCCAAGTGCTCCTGGACTCCTTCCAGCACCTCTGCAGGAATATGTTGTTTATACGCCAGAAATATCGATCATCGTGTTCTTTGTATTAAGCCGACTACCAGAGACCATTCAACCTCCAGCCAAAGCCTTCATGGGGCTTCTCTATCCTGCCACCTCCTCCTCACCTGACCAGGCACAGGAGTGGATTATTGTTATCCAGGCACAGATTCCAGGATGTGTACGAGCCGTTTGTGTGTCCCACAGAGCTGGCCTGTGTCAGCAGAATTGAGGTCATGGCTGCGTTTGCCTCAGCCCACCCCACAGCAAGGCAGCAGGACGAGACTCCTTGTCTTGGGAGCTCCATTAGGAGCCTCTTTCAAGTTTTTGCTCCAGTATGAAACAAGAAGAAATGCTGGGACTTGTAGACCAAGCTGGCATCACAATGAATACATACAACCATAAAAATATTCTACTGAAACAATACTCAAATATGCTTAATAAAACTGTGACCAATGGATGCACTGTCTGGGCAAGAATGTGCTCACAAAGCTGGGAGGTAGAATAAGGGACAAGGAAAGGTGAGGCTGGTATTTATCCAGCATGGGGTGTCTAGCTGCCTCATGACGGGGCTGCAGCACCCACACACAGCCCAGGATGGAGGTGCCCACGTGGGGAAGCCTTGATAACTAAGCAATGTCTACCTCAGATCCCCTCACAGGCAGGAGGCCCTCACTGGGGCCTTCCCCTCACATCATAGGGGCCTCTACAGAGCTGCCACTGCAGGGTTCAGAGCAGCCCTAAGCCCTCAAAGCAGCTGGACCCCCCTGAACACTCCCCCTGTACCCTCACAGCCCTCTCACGGGTCTCCATGCCCCCACAGCCCCTCAAGCCCTCACACTTCCCTCACAGCCCTCCTAGCTCTTACCGCACCCCCGAGCCCTCACAGATCCTTGAGCCCCCCCAGTCTTCTCACGGCTGCCAGAACCCTGAGCCTTTAGGGACCCCCGAGCCCTCAGAGGAGCCAGGCTCCCTGAGCCCTCAGAGCCCCTCTCAGCCTCCCAAGGCCTCACACTCCCCTCACACCGCCCGCCCCAGCCCCTTCCCGCCACTCGCGCGCGCTGTCGCCATGACAACGCCCGCGCGCGGCCCCGCCAGCCTCGGGTCGGGGCCGCGCGCCAGAAAGTGCTGGAATGTCGCTGCAGCCCGCGCGTGCGCGCACGGGGTCCTTCCCCCACCCGCCGCGCCGCTGCGGCGCCTGCTGGAGCGGGACGGGGGGACGGGCGGGGAAGGAAGGAGGCAGACCTGCCTGGAGGAGCGGAGGCGAGGGGCGGGGGGGAAGCACTGGGGACCCGCGGGGAACCCGCCCTGTCCCGCAGTGAGGAGGAGCCGCCGCCTCCGCTGCGCAAAGCGCGCACTCGGGTCCGTGAATGAGCGGCTGCGGCGGCCACCGCCCAGAGCCCGCTGCGGAGTCACTGCGACGGTTACCAGGGCACTTCGTTCTCCGCCAATCAAACGGCGTTAGCTCATCCCCCACGGTCGACAGCCAATCGGCTTCGACATCAATCATTCAATTGAGCCAATCGGAAACGCCGTGAGCGAGGTGAGGCGGGCACTCGCGGCTCCCGGTTGCCTAACTGTAAAGCTAACAGACAGGAGGGCGGGGTGAATAGGAGCCGTCGGCTTGAATGACAGCGGCCTAGCCAATTAGATTCTCTCATTTGTAGAGCCTCGCTATAAGCATCCAATCGTTGTTGCGAGTGGCCGCCTGGGCGGGGAGAAGAAGGCTGCGCGCGCATTCCGCTGCTATATAAGGGCTGGCGGTTGCCTCACGCAGCCAGAGTCGGTTGGGGAAAGCCTGGGGTTGTCGTGAGCGCTCGGAGCTGCCGCCATCATGAGAGAGATTGTGCACCTGCAGGCCGGGCAATGCGGGAACCAGATTGGAGCCAAGGTCCGGGCGGGGAAAGAGGGCGCGGGGGCGGGAGGGGAGCGCGCCCGGTCCGGCGCGGCCGCCGCTGACGCGCTTCTCTTCGGCAGTTCTGGGAGGTGATCAGCGACGAACATGGCATCGACCCCACCGGCACTTACCACGGGGACAGCGACCTGCAGCTGGAGCGCATCAATGTCTACTACAACGAGGCCACAGGTAGGGCCCGGACGCGCCCCCCGTGCTCCCCCCGGCCCCCCCCGGCGCGGTAGTCACGGCTCTCCCTGTGTTGCAGGCGGCAAGTACGTGCCTCGCGCCGTGCTGGTGGACCTGGAGCCCGGCACCATGGACTCGGTGCGCTCCGGGCCTTTCGGGCAGATATTCAGGCCAGACAACTTCGTGTTCGGTGAGTGCGCGGGGGCGGGAGGAACCGCGGGGTGGGGCGGGCAGGGCACTGCGGGGCTGCCCCGCCGCACATGCTCCGAGGAACCGGCCCGGACGGGGGTAATCCTGGCGTGGAATACCGGGATTGCGGCTGGGAGCAGCTCCGAGGTGGCACCAGAGGTCGTTGCTTTTCGGTTCTTAGTTACCGCCTCCGTGCGTGCCACCGGGAGAAATGGAGTGGCTGCTGTATCATTGATAATTAATGTTTGCCTGTGTCTGGCGAGCCACTGCAGAGGTGCCTGTGTGAAACCACAGCCCTGCGCTCGATAAGATGAAAGCTTTCATGGAGCCTGATGCTCTTAGGCTTTGCTTGCAAGCAATAAGCAGGAAGCAGTGACCGTAATCTAATTCGAAAATGGCTCTTTTCCAGGTCAGAGCGGAGCGGGGAACAACTGGGCAAAGGGCCATTATACGGAAGGTGCTGAATTAGTCGATTCTGTGTTAGATGTTGTAAGGAAGGAGGCAGAAAGCTGTGATTGTCTCCAGGGCTTTCAGCTTACTCACTCCCTGGGTGGTGGCACAGGCTCTGGCATGGGTACCCTTCTCATCAGCAAAATCCGTGAGGAGTACCCAGACCGAATTATGAATACTTTCAGTGTGGTGCCCTCCCCTAAAGTGTCAGATACTGTAGTGGAGCCCTACAACGCCACGCTGTCGGTGCACCAGCTGGTGGAGAACACGGACGAGACATACTGTATCGATAACGAGGCGCTGTACGACATCTGCTTCAGAACACTGAAGTTAACGACCCCCACCTACGGTGATCTGAACCACCTCGTGTCGGCCACCATGAGCGGTGTCACCACCTGCCTGCGGTTCCCGGGCCAGCTCAACGCTGACCTGCGGAAGCTGGCGGTGAACATGGTTCCCTTCCCACGTCTGCACTTTTTCATGCCTGGTTTTGCCCCACTCACCAGCCGTGGGAGCCAGCAGTACCGGGCTCTAACCGTGCCAGAGCTCACCCAGCAGATGTTCGATGCCAAGAACATGATGGCGGCGTGTGACCCTCGTCACGGCCGCTATCTGACCGTGGCCGCTGTCTTTAGGGGCCGCATGTCCATGAAAGAGGTGGATGAGCAAATGCTAAACGTTCAGAACAAAAATAGCAGCTATTTTGTTGAATGGATCCCTAATAACGTTAAGACAGCAGTCTGTGACATTCCACCTCGCGGCCTCAAAATGTCTGCCACCTTCATTGGCAACAGCACGGCCATCCAGGAGCTGTTCAAACGCATTTCTGAGCAGTTCACTGCGATGTTCCGCAGAAAGGCCTTCCTGCACTGGTACACGGGCGAGGGCATGGACGAGATGGAGTTCACAGAGGCTGAGAGCAACATGAACGACCTGGTGTCTGAGTACCAGCAGTACCAGGATGCCACAGCTGAGGAGGAGGGAGAGTTCGAGGAGGAGGCTGAGGAGGAGGCAGAGTAAAGCTATGCAGTTGGAACACCTGTAAATTTTGTTTAAAGTTGTATGAACTCTCTCATTCAAAAGTTCTGTTTGTGTTGTGTTGTTATTGCTGTTTCCGAGTCACTCGCAATGCTGTACAGGCACCATTAAAGCAGTTTTCACAGTGCAAGACCCCGTCTCCTCTGTTCACACCGGTACGATTCCCGTGTACCGTCCCCGTAGGTGAGCCCGTGGATGTCCTGCAGGTCTGGAACACAAAAACAATCAAACAAGGGGCTTGGCACGAGCGCTGCCCCCTTGTCATGGTAACCGCCCTTCTGCCCTGCCCTCAGCCAGGTGCCGCCTGCTGTGTCACTGGCTCCTGCTGGTGTGGAGATTGGAGACGGCCCCTGCTGTGCTCGTACGTCAGGTATTGCTGGAGCGGGGCAAATTTAACAGGGAGGGTGGATTTCACTCCAAGCTGTATCTAAATTTAGGTACCTGCCTGTGGCCTGGCGCAGCCTGGCCTGGCAGGAGCTGAGCGGGGCTCACCGGAGGTTTGAGCTGCCTGGGCACGATCGGTGCCACGGAGCTGCCGCCCGGCGCCGGTGTCCTGCGGCAGCTGCGCTGCTCCGCTGCAGCCCCTCGGTGCTGCAAACCCAGCAGGGAGCCCGGCCTGGCCCAAGGGTGCTGGGCACGCTGTCACAAGGGACACCAAAGCTGACCCTTGCACACAGCCCTTCTGCAGTGATTCCAGAAATCACAGTAGAGGTTTTGATAATCGGGTGTTGGTGCAGCCTCTGCTGTTTGGGTGAGCTGAACACCTGACAAGTATCTGACACTGGTTTGTCTCATGAAAACCCTGTACTAACAGCAGGTTTTTACAATGGAACCAGTTCATATGTTGGGTGTCGCGTCAAGTGACAAAGCTGTCACCGAGGAGCTGGACAGGAGGGAGCAGGCTCCTTCCCTGCTGAAAAAATTCTGTTCAGTGTTCTAAATTATAAATGCTTTTGTTTAAAGGTTTTCTGCCTTAATTAATTTTCTCCACCCAGAGCCGGACTGGTTGGAGCAGTTAAAACTGTGCTGACTGGTGGCTCCAGAGGCAGGGAAGTGGGAATGTCTGCAGAACAGGGCCCCGTGTCAGAGCTGCACTCAACATTCTCCTCTCTGGGCTCCACCTCCCCGTCAGCCACAGCCCAGCCCAGCCAGGGGAGTTGTGTTCCCACTCTTTCAGTCCTGCCATATTTCATCTCCCATCTCCCCTCTGCACTGCAGCAAGGACGAGCAGTGAGTCCAGTTCTTCCCGGCTGAGCTCCATAATTTCCCACCCACATTACTGAGCTGTGACCAGACAGCAAAGCATTAGTTGCTGATTTGTTGAGATTTTTTAGCCTGGTACATTAATGCTTTCAGGTGCATGGACACACCTTCCCCTTACTTACAAAATTCCTCCAGACCTCTCCTTTTAGGCAGCCCAAGGGCTCAGGCAGGGACCTGTCCTGATGGCAAATACAATTTCCCTACACTTTCTATGCTTTCTCAACACCTTCACACCATCTACCTTTTCCTTTTTATCAGACTTCCAGCTTTTTAGAACAAATCCCTTTCCTGCCACGTGACAGGTGGGATGTCACTGAGCCTGGGCAGGGGATGGTGGCTGGAAACGTTAAGCCTGGGAGAGGCTGGCAGTGGGAAAGCTAGGCTCTCCTGGGCATGGCAGAGTTCCAGCAGCTCAGCACAGACAGAAAAAACCTACTACCCACGTGGAACACCTCACAGATTGTTCACTGCTGTGCCACTCCAGCCAGCAACTGCACTACTTAACCCAGTAATTAGTATTAGTGACTTTCGTTTTCGCTCAGCTGATGAACTTACGTGGTACAAAGCCCAGGTAGTTAGGTATGAGTCCTGCACGGCTGTAAATTTTGGTGTCCGGCCAGTGTGTCAGGGGGAATCTTGTGCCCAATGTATAAGGTGGATTTCTCTCCAAAAGCTGGAAAACAAAACAAAAAAGACCCCACAACAACATGGAACGGTTTATTTTAAAACACACTATTTTTACCAAAGTCATGTGCTTTGACTCTGCATCATATAAAATATTTAAGCCAACATAAAGCAATTCTCCTTCCAGTCCTGCTTTCTTCTAATTAAGAGCTACATTGCATTGTCCCTTTTTCCACTCCATAAATTTTTCTCCTGGCAGGTGTTGGCAGCAGTCCCTGCTGGCTTGTCCCCCATGCCCACAGCATGGCCCAGGTGCTGTCCTTGGGATCCCTGCAGACCAGGCTGCAGAGATTTATTCCCTTGGGGATCATCCCCAAGTCCCAAAGCCTCTGCTCTGCTGTCCCTGGAGCTGGCGTTCCTGTGCTGTGGCTGTGTGTGGGCTTGACCCCCTTTGTGTTTCCATGAGTCCCACCAGCAGGAATGGCCTGGAATTCCCAGGCCAGGAGGAACGGGAAGGCTTAGGTGGTATTAACTGAAGGAAGAGTGCAAATCGTCTCCTGCCCTCTGAGGCCGGACACAGCGAGGGGCCGGGCAGCAGGATGGGTGTCACAGCCGGTGTCACAGCTCGCAGCCACAGAACCCCCAAAGGTGTCCCTGGAGCTGTGCCTGGGATGCAGAGCGGGGATGTGGCTCACGGAGCCCAGCACACCGTGGGGCCAGCGCGCCCTTTGTGCTGGGCTGGAGCCGCGCAGTGCCTGCTGCAGGCAGGGAGCAGCAATCCACGGCACATCTGTAACCGAGGACAACAAAGATTTAGGGCAGCAGATTAGTGGCTTGAAGTCAGAAGCCATCTTAGCTGGAAATGCGGTGTGATTCTCCCTCCCTTCAGCCCGTCTGCTCCTCGCTGCTGCCGAGCCCCGGAGCGCTGAATCCCGCACGGACGGACAGACACCTCCCCGGCTGACCCACGGCATGGCAGGCACCGGGGCAGGAAGGCTTGGCAAACAGCACGCCCAGGGATAAATGCCCGGGTTTTGTTCTGTTTGCTCCTTTTCTGCTCCTAATCACGGCAGCAGGGAAGGAGACGGAAGCCAGCGCCGGGAAATGCGTCTCACCCAGAGCACGACGCTGCCCTGCTGCTCTCCCGCTGGCTCAGCCCTGCCCCGCTGGTTTCTCCGAGCTGGGGACCCTCAGCCTTGGACGCTTGTCCTGCACCAGCCCCGCATGCCGGGGATGGAGGCACGGCGGTGTCCGGGGAGCAGCAAGGGCTGCGTGCCTCAGCCTGTGTTCAATGCGCTGACCCGCTGGACCAGCGAGGCTGCTGCACCCCGGGATCCCTCTGCACCTCGGGGATCCCTCTGCACCCCGGGATCCCTCTGCACCCCGGGGATCCCTCTGCACCCCGGGGACCTCTCTGCACCCCGGGGATCCCTCTGCACCCCGGGAATCACACCGCATCCCGGGAATCACACCGCATCCCGGGAACCTCTCTGCACCCCGGGGATCCTGCTGCATCCAAGGATCTCACGCCCTGCCGGGGGCAGGGAGGGACGTGTAGCTCTGAATGCAATCAGCTGCTGCGGGAGGGATCTCGTTTTCCGTGCCGGAGGATTATGTGTCATTGTATGGGAGCTCTTACAGCAAGGGGATGACAGTTTTTCAGGAGGGATATTTCTGCACCCTTCCCAAAAGGAGGAGAAAGAAGGTCTAGATCCCTTTAAGAAAAATTGTGTTCGGAAAGGAAAAAGCCTTACAACCAAATAAATGATGTATCACAGGAAGTCACCAGCACTGCCAACCAGACAGAGGAGATGTATTCTATAAAGGAAGTGCAGATACTTGCATCCTGTATTTCTGCACCCAGAGCAACATTTTTAACATCCACTCTTGACCCAGCCCTCAATATATTTCCTTAATCCTTTCATGAACTCATTTACCATCCCTTAATGTCCCAAGGAAACGAGTTACAGAATTTAATTGCTGGTGTTTTTTTCAATGTTAACTAACAGCATTTGATTTTGCTTGTACTTGTACCCCAGTTCTAATCCTACTACTGAAAATTCAGCATCAGCATTATACATATTCTCATTTCAGTAATCTGTAATCTACCTGGCGACGGTCGAATTCCTTCATGGCTTTCTTCACAGACAAGAGGTAGGTCATGCCAACATTGTCCAGGGAGCAGGGGATGTATCCAGTGTACCCTTTGGATGAGGCAAAAGAGAACATTTTCTGCTTGAGAACATACAAAGAAAATTTAAAGATCAACCACTCAGAGTAGAGGAGCCTGGGATGAATATAAAACCTTAAAGAATAGGAAGGAAAAGTTAATCTGTTTAAGTTGTAAGATTAACTCTTACATGTGAGGTAGCTTCTCTGAAAGAGGTTTTTTCCCTTATGACTCCCAAGGAGAACACAATGGCCTGAACTGATTTTTGTTGGTCTGCATGTGGTATGGAAGAACCATTTCATTTTCTTAGTCCTTTTTTTACATTGACAGCTCTTTCATATTTTCTCCCAATTTAATACACATTCAGGGGCTAACAATGGGATGTCCAACCTTTTTTTCCTCATCTCCTCTGCCCATCCAACAAATTCCCACAACAGAAACTTTAAAAGTCTAAAACTACAAAAACCTAGTGAGGTAGAACCTAAAAGCAGCCCAAACTCCCCCTTTCCAAAGGAACGCTTTGGAAAGGGAAATTTGTCTTCTGCACCCTAAACCCTGGACACTCTCATTTTAGCTGGAATATTGTGATTCCTGTGATCCTGTCCTGCAGTGCAGAGTGAAGGAACCCACCTGCTGCAGTCGGATCCTCGAGGGGGATCAGCCCATCACCCCTGTAGCTCTCCTGCTGCACAGGAATGTTCCCCAGGGCCAGGGGGAAGATGTAGAACACTCCTTGCAGGACACGGTTCACACCTTTATGGTGGTGCCATACCCCCTGCGCGTGCATTTGGTGATTCAGGAAAACATCTGGTTTCTGGCAGGGTGGGGCAGAGCCCAAGGACCAGCTCTCCTCACCACAGCTGCAGGGGACTGAGGTGGTTCCTGAATCCCAGGTGGTTCCTGAATCATCCAAATGGTGACAGCATCCCAAGGGTGACAGCATCCCAAAGAAACGCCCTTGCAGGGAGAGCAGCAGGGATATTTTCCATCCCAAACAAGCTGGAGCCACTGGGCAATTTCCTGAATCATCCAAATGGTGACAGCATCCCAAGGGTGACAGCATCCCAAAGAAACGCCCTTGTAGGGAGAGCAGCAGGGCCACTGTGTCCCCATGGGGAGAAGGGTCACCTCATTTCCTAGAGGTGGCCTGGTGCTGCAGGTGGCCTGGCTGTGCTTTACCTAAAGTGGCTTTCTGTCGGATGGCATTTGGGACGGGCAGCACTGGCAGTGTGTAATCTGCTGTTGCAACCCCTCCTGGCAGTGTCACACCTCCAGTTTCTAGATGCTTGAAACAAAAAGAGAAATAAGATCAAACACCAGTAAAACCCGCTTCTTCCCTCAGCTCCACTGCTTCAATCACTGCCAGGACTGGGAATGGCCACTGCCCAGCTGCCATTTCCAGTTCTTCCCAGCTCCACTCCAAGAGCCACCCCAGCCACTTCTGGGAAAGCCAAATGACGAGATGAGCAAGCAGCAGACCTAGAAAGGGTTTGCAAAATCCTCATGCAGAACAAGGGGAGCTTTGGGCTCTGAGCTCCTGTGCAAATCTGTTTCTGAGGGCAAGGAGCAGGAATGCCCCTTCTTGGGATTTACATCCAAGCCAGCTTTTGACTCCATACGTCAAACCTCTAATCTCTGCCTTCAGAGGATTTGCAGAGCCACGGCTGCAGGAACGTGACAAAGGCTGTCACTGGCTCCAGAGAAAAGAAATGTTTTATTAAAAAATAATAAATATAATAATAATTAAAGAAAAAAACAAAAAAACCCAAACCAAACAAAAAAATCTCCAAAAAACAAACAAACAAAAAAAACCCCAAACCAACCAACCAAACAAGCAAAAAGAACACCATAAAACATGTTGGTCTGGAGGGATATTTGGCTGTGCAGTGCTCAACAGCCCCCAGCTCCACAGGCAAATGCCAGTACTGGTGTTCAAAGGAGAGGTAATGATGGTGTGAAATTCAGGTGGGGGCAGATACAGGGTCAGAAACCCAACCAAAGGTGCTGGGACTGCTCTGTTTTTGGGGGAGGAGGAAGGCAGCATCAGGGCTCCAAGAACACCCTAAGGAAGCACAAGCCTGGCTGGCCAGCACAGCATAACACAACTTTAGGGACTGGGATTGAAGCCAAATGCACCCAAATGAGAAATTAAGCCTTTTTCATTGGGAAGTGTAATTAACTATCAAAACCATTTCCTGAAGATGGAGTAGATTTGCTGCTGCTGGAAACATTTGTGTGTCTGATCTTTCTTTACAAAAACTCCTAACTTTGTGCCCTTGCCATGTGTTGGATTGAGCCCTTTTCTGACCCAGGGATGGGATAACTGAGAGGTGTTTTAAAAACTTTTATTCTATTTTCAGTCTCATGTGAAGGGTGAGACAATACAGATGTTATAATTCACACCATTACAATCAGAAGCTTTAAAGCATTTACAGCATGGTGTGGCTAAAGCTAATAAGCCAAAAAACACTTATAGCGTGTTGTAATTAAAAAATATCTTCTAATTGTAACAGCGTAAATAATAACATCTGTATTATCTCGCCCTTCACATGAGACTGAAAATGGAATAAAAGTGTTTAAAACGCCTCTCAGTTGCGCCTGCCTGGGTCAGAAAAGGGCTCGATCCAAGAGGTGCCCCCGGCCGTGTGAAGCCCCCTCCTCACGCCCCGGCCCCTCCCGGAGCCACTCACCGTTCCGCTCCCTGCAGGGCTGCCCTGGCCGGCTCCAGTCCCCAGGAGCCGGGCCAGGGGTGCCATGGCCAGCTCCCTGTCCATCTCCTGGGCCGCGGGGTGCAGGGCCAGCCCCCGCAGCGGCTCCGGGGGGCTCTGCTGGGGCCCGGGCACGGCCAGGCCCGGGGGGCACCGCCAGGGCTGCGGCTCCTCCAGCACCGAGGGCACGGGCTGCGGCCCCAGGGGAACCTCAGGAGGGCTCCTGAGGGGCTGGTAGGTGACGTATCCTGAGGGACAGACACCGAGTTAGGGGACAGGAGGGATTCCCGTTATCCCCGTGCCCCGGGAAGGAGCCTGGAGTCAGCGGTGTAGAACCAGAACAGCTCGACTTGGAAGAGACCACAAAGATCCACTCCATGCACATCCCATGGCTGTGTCATCAGCCCCATCAGTAAACCAGCCTGCACAGAGAACCAGCACAAATCCCAGCTAAGTAACATTTATTCCAGCTGTCACCAAAACGGTCAAATATCACCAGCCAAGCTAAAAAAGTTGTAAAGGGGGAAAAAACCCTCAATTCTTAACTCCAGGTGGCTGTGTCAGCCCACCCCAAACAGAGCCCTCTCCAAGGAATTCTTGCTCTGGCACCATTGCTGCTCATCGAGGAAAGAATCTGCTATAACACTGCCTGGAAAAAAATTATCTTACATCCAGCAAATGCTAAATATCTCCACTGTGAACGAGGGACAGAGCCCTGTGATTTGAGATTCTGCAGGGACAGCGGAGCTTGGCAACTTTTGTCTGATTTCCCCTTAAAAATCCCTCCTGACGTGGCTCCCCAGGTGCCCCAGCCCTGTGTGACCCCTGGCTCAGGCATTTCTCTGTGCCAGCAGTGAAGCCCATTTTTCCCCTCCTCTGCAGTTCCAGAGGAGAATCACTCCTCCACCCCACAGCCACCTTTTCCTTCTTGGAAAACTGTTACTCTGTCAGCCTGGTCTTTTTAAAACAAACCAAATTCCTTCCATTTTTGTGCTCACAGGCCATTTTTTCCAGGTCTTTACAGCCTTCCTGTGAGCTCCCCTTGGGAGCACATCTGCATCCCAGGGCTGAGCCCAGGGAATGAGGAGCCTCTTCCAGCAGAGGCTCCATCTGCAGACAGCCCCTTCCTCTGCAGTGCTGGATTATGCTGGACTCAGAGGTTTTTTCCAAGCTGAATGATTCCATGATTTCTGCAAACCTGCAGAATTCAGCAAAATCTGCCTTTTTCTGCACGACTATAAATTTCTGATGGGTATTTAGGTGTTCAATCTGCCCACAACTACATAATAATGTGTATATATTACAGCTTTGTGAAATATACATTATATATATATATATTCAGTTGCTCTATGCAACTGAATTTTCAAGTCCAGGCTGGAACCAAACTAAAAAAAAATCCTCAATTAAAATGATTTTTCAATCCAATGTGGAAATTTTAAAGCATGTTTATTTTTTTAATTCATTATTAATAAGAATGTTGAATCTACTCTTTCTCCCACAAACCAAAGGAAAAGAAAACTTAGGTTGTTCTGTACTTGAGAAATCCCTGTGAGCTCCTGTCTATGACCCTGGGTTGCAAACGGATTGATTCTGAAAGGTTGCACAGTGAAGCACGAAATGAAAAGCCAGGAGAGCACAGTGCTTCTGATTTGAGGAAATATCCACATTTTCAGGTCAGGTTCCTGGGCCGTGGCTGCCTGCACAATTGGCTGTGCCACAACCAGATGCACATGGATGATGGATAATTCAGCACATCCCTAGCTGATCTCATGGAATCACAGAATATCCTGAGCAGGAAGGGACCACCAGGATCACCCAGCCCAGCCCCTGTCCCTGCCCAGACCCCCAACAACCCCCCCCTGGGCATCCCTGGCAGCGCTGTCCAAAGGCTCCTGGAGCTCTGGCAGCCTCGGGGCCGTGCCCATTCCCTGGGGAGCCTGGGCAGTGCCAGCACCCTCTGGGGGAAGAACCTTGCCCTGAGCTCCAGCCTGAGCTGCCCTGGTCACCAGAAGGAAGAGATCCCCAACAGCAGAGCCTGACTGCACTTCCAGCAAGAAAACAAATGGGATCAACTGATAGAAACCAGCAAAGTACTTGGTGCCCATCAATGAGACTTTATCAAAGCCAGGCCTTGAGAAAAATATCTTGAGACTGAGTTTGCTAAAGGCAGCCACAGTCCTGAACTCTTTGATCACCATGACATAAAACAGCCAGGAGGACACCAGGCAGCACCTGGGCAGGGTTTAAGGGATTGCTCAGGGTCAGCTGGACAGCAGGAGCTGTTGGTGATCAAAGAGTTCAGGACATTTTCAGCACAGCCAGGGCTGGTTCTTCAGGACCTCACCAAGGAGCAGCAAACACGAGCACCATTGGCAACGAGGAGAGAACCAAAATAATGAGAGAGCAACTCGGTCAACTGGTTAGTTGGGTCTGTCCAAGCTGTATTTTAGACCAAGGAAATGCAAATTCAAATCTCCAGGAATGAAGCCTGTAAACACCACCTGTGTACTGGAGGCCTGGATCCTGGAAAACAGGGCCAGGAGGAGCAGAGAGGCCACAAGTTTGCAAGAAGCTGCACGACACAAATTCCCAGTGAGAAATGAGAAAGCAACACTTGGGTGTGGCCATCCCCGGAGAAATAAAGACCCAGATCCCACAGGGGCACATTATCCCCGTGTTCAGCCTGGAGGAAACTCCCTCCCACTGTCCAGGGCATCCACAACAGCCAAATGTGTCCCCAAAGGATGGCACGTCCCCGGGGGCTGATCAGGGCAGCCCTGCTGTGCCTGCTTTGGGGCTGCTCAGCAGGGACCAGGAACTCTGCACAAAGCGCTGGGACTTGGTAGGAAATTCCTGCAAATTTCCTGTATTGGGAATCCACATGAGCCTGTCTGTGCTTGATGGAGGAGATGGGGCCTGTTAGCAAAGTGGAAAGGGAAAAGAGGGAAAGGAGGGAAAAGACAGGAAAGAGGGGAAAGAGGGAAAGGGAAAGCACAGGAGCCCTTCTGCTGAGCTGAGGAGGAGCAGCAAGAAGCAGAAACAAGGCCAAGCTGTCAGAGCTCAGAGCAGAGCGAGCTGTGCACCAGGCAGGTGAGCCAGAAAAGAATCTGAGGTAGGACACCAGACCTTCCCCAGAAAGATAGATTTTAGCCTGTGGAATTGTGCTGGGTTTGACTGGGATAGAGGTAATTTTCTTTATAGAATATCATACAGGCCATGGTTTGGATTTGTCAGCAGGCAGCTGTATGGGGATTAGTTGCCAGCCAGGGTTAAACCACAGCAGAAATTCTGAAAGAACTGGGGAGTGAGTTAATGATATGGCATAAAATCACTTAACTTCATCTAACTGAAGATAACCTGGGAACTGAAACTCTCCTCTCCATAACACCAGAATCCCCATCCTCATCCTCATCAGCTGAGGCCAAGAGCTGCAGCACCTCACTCTGCTGCTCTCCAGCTGTCAGAGCTCCTGCACCAGAGCTGGGATTGCTCCAAGGAAAATATCCCATTTCATCCAGCAGCCTACCAAGGACAGAAGGGCACAGACCCCACTACTGATAATTAACACCGTGCTCATTAGCAGGGTCCATTTGCTCACCTGGATGGTCAATGTGGTAATGGTACTCGAGGAGGTTTTCCTTGTTGTCCAGCGGTGCCAGCAGGGAGCGAGGGCTCTTCCTGACATTGGGATCTGTCAGCAGATTGTGGGTGGTTCTTCCATAGGTGTCCCCAAACATGAAGGTGAATTGAGGAACGTAGCCCCCATAGCTGAGGAGGAAACCAGAAAGGAGCCATCACTGAGATGGCAGTGGGGGATGTCCACTGGTGGGGTAACCATGGAATCCCAGACTGGTTTGGGCTGGAAGGGACCTTAAAGTCCATTCAGTCCCCCCCTGCCAAGGGCAGGGACAGGTTCCACTGTTCCAGGCTGCTCCAAGCCCCAATGTCCAGCCTGGCCTTGGGCACTGCCAGGGATCCAGGGGCAGCCACAGCTGCTCTGGGCACCCTGTGCCAGGGCTGCCCACCTCCCAGGGAACAATTCCTGCCCAATATCCCACCCATCCCTGCCCTCTGGCAGTGCAGATCTGCTGCAGAGTGTCTGTACCCTGGACAGGAGCCCAGGGAAGGTGAAGGATGGATGAGCCCGGGGGGAGAACCGAGACCACACGTGTGGTCACACAGGAGCCAGAAGGGAGTGTCTGTGTTCCACATGCATGTTCTCCTCTGGCAGCACAAAAACTGGCTCATCAATTCACAGGCATGTACAGGCACAGGCCCTTGGTTCTTGGAGAAACATGGGTGAGGTCAGGGAGCAGCACCTGGGGATGGGAAAACTCCCAGCACAGCCTGGGCTTTGGCAGAACCAACATCCACAATCCCCCAGTTAAAATACCATTTCCTGTTCCATGTGCCCCAGTTTAAACCTTGCAGTGCCTCTCTGCTCTGACACACTGTAACTGAGAAAATCCCGGTGTCTCTTCAGTATTGAAACTCAAAAATCAGAATAATTCCTCTCTTGCAGCCTCCTCTGTCTGCTCACAGCAAGGAGGGGGCCCAGGCTGATGAGCCCCCCAGGCACTGCCTGGCACAGGGGGGCACAGGGAGGGTGGTCAGTCCCAGGAACAAACACAGCTCTGGTTTTTTGGGATCTCTCCACTGCCCAATCCCTGGGCTGGGCACTGTGACTTGTTGGTGGCCAAGGGCAGGGCAGGTGCTGGAGCTCTGGCTCTGCTCCGAGACACCATCAGAAACTCGAGCTGTTCCAGTCTCAGATTTCCTAATGGTGATGTTATTCCAGCACTGAAGAAAGGTAGAGCAGCCAATTGCAATGAACAGAAATATTCCATCAATGAGCCCAGCGTGGATCCGGGGATAAAGCCAGATGATGCATGAGGATCATAAGATGATGAGTAAGTCCTTTCCCTTCCAAATAGTTTAAACAGCAGCCAGCAGAGCTGTGCATTTACTCTTGGCAGGTTTCCCCACTCTGCATGCAGGATTCCTCCTGGAGCAGCTCAGTGCCTCATCCCCAGGGATTCTCAATGAGTCTTGCAACATGGATGATAAACTGAGCAAAGGCACAAATGACACAGCCCAAATAATTACAGGATGGCTGGAGGGATTTTGATCACGGACAAAATAATGGCTGGGCTGAGAAAGGGCCCTGTTCCCCTGCAATTAAACACGAGGTGAGCGAGTTGGGATCTGCCACAGAGGGAGTCACAAGTGCTGCTGGTAAAGCCTGGGGAAGGGATCAGCCTCAGCAGGGCTGTTTGTGCCCCCGTGCTGGGGTTGATGAAGGACCCCCTTTTGGGGAGCCTGTCTGGGGCTCAGGCTGGAGCAGTGAGACCCCTCTGCCCGAGGCTGAGCCCGTCCCACCCTTCCCTTGCTCAGCCCTATCTCCTCCATCACCACTCCCAGGCTGCCACCCAAACCTGCTCTGCCTCCCTGGCTGCCAGCAAAGCCTTGGCCCTGGGCCATCCTCTCCTGTCTCCAAACCCTTCCCAGCTCTGCAGAGCCAGGCTGTGCCCAGGATTCATGGACTGACTCCTTCTCTGCCCACCCAGACCTTTCCAAGCCATCCCACTCACTGGGTTTAGGCTTCCCAGTGCTCTTGAGCACTGTGGTGGCTTTCCAAACTCCTGCTGTGACCATTGCCTGGCCTGATGACAACAATGTGCTTTGGTGCTCTCGAGGTGTTTGTAGGTTCACTGGCACAGGTGGGTGCAGCACATGGGACACCTGGGGACATCCTGGACACAAACCCTCCTCCTGTGACACCCCGGGGCAGGGCTCTGGCTCTGCTGGTGATGCCCTTCAGGCAGCTCCTCCTCACCCTCAGCACCCAAAGCAGATGCAAAGCAGCACCCTCACCACCCACGGGGGCTCAGGGGGTGCCCCAAGCCTGCACAGCACCAACAGAAGCAGCAGCAGCCTTTGCCTCCTCCTCCTCCTCCTGCCTCCAGAGGCCAAAGCAGCTCCGAAGAGGAGCAGCCCCAGCTGCTGTGTCCATCCCGGGGCTTGGAGCTGCTCCTGAGGGAGCTGCAGGCAGGCAGGGGTGAGCAAAGGAAGGTGTTGAGGCTTTGGGGGCTGCAATTCCAGCCACAGCTCCCTCCTTGCTGTCCCCTCATCTTTCCCAAGCCGCTGCCAGCACAGCTTTGATGGCACACAGGGACTGTCACATCAGATGGCCACAGCAATGCAAAAATTGTAAAAATAGTAAAAAACCCCCAGGCTCAGAGCTTGTGTAAGTGGGAAGGCGGAGAGATCAGCAATGGAAAATCCTGCCTGTCACTCTACGGGGAAGGGCCGGTTCGGTCAGCACTGCAGGAGCAGCCCCAGGGAAACGTGCTCCACCCTCTCCCCGGGGCTGGGATCTGCCTCCCCAGACCTGCCCCGCACACGGGACCTGCCGGCATTCCCTGTGCCAGGGCTAATCCCAGCGATTTCACACCCACAGCAGCTGCTTTTGCCCTGGGGCCGCCCAGCCCTTCCCTTTGCACATCCCAGCCCAGGTCCCACCACAGGACCCCACACACAAAGTCTTAATTCACAGCAAATCCCAAATTCCTCCCATTCATGTCTTACCTTCTCCCCTGTAACTCACTGCCTCATATCCAGGCTTTCTTATTTCCAAGCCTTTAGAGGAGAGTGTCACAAAGAGCTTTGGGAAGAAATCCAGCTACTTTTGGAGTAGATGACAAGACTTCCCAGTCTCTGACCCAGCAGCAGGACAGGGCTCCAGCCCAGTGACCAGAGGGTGTCACATCTGTACAACCCTTTAGTCAAAGGAGACTTCCAAAAATCCTTGATGCAAATATTAAGACAGTTTGGAAGCCAAACCCCGCACAGTAGCTCTGCTGACATTTGGCAGCTTAAAATAAATGAGGAAAAAGAGGGGAAAAGAACCATTTTGTCTTTGCTGTCCTTGGCATGGTGTGTAGCTCTACCCCTCTGTAAGGTGCTGTTTCCTCTGGAACTCTGTCTCCTTCTGACCATGGTTACGTGGAATATTGAATAGTGTCTTTAAAAAATTCCCAAAACATCCTGAGTCATAAACACTCCCTGACCCCAACCAGAGCCACGTGCATTGGAAATGGATGTTTTGGATGAACTCACCCAGGGATGTGGTAGGGGTTTTGAGGAAAGATGCTGTTTCCCTTGAAGCCTGCCATGATGATGTTACAGCTCTTGGTGGGGAGGGGGGGAAGGAGACACAGCTCAATGCAATCACCAGGGGAGCCTCTGTGATGTCAGCCCCCAGCAGGTTCCACCGGCAGCACAAAACCCCTCAGCTGCTCCTGGACACAGCTCTTTCCTTCCCCACCTGGACCTTTTGGAGGAGCACAGGAATTCTACGGCATTCATCAGCTTTCCTGAGGGCCCCCAGCCCTGGGCCCAGCAGTGCCAGGCGCTCCCTGGGATGGCCCCAGCACGAAGTCGTGTCCGCGCTCACGTCCCCCAGGGCTCTGCAGAGCCGCCCTCGCCCCCGGGGACATCGAGGCCACCCCTCCTCTGGCTGCTCCCCACTGTTTGAGGATTCCCTGCCGGTTCCTGCAGGATGAAGGTTGTTCCCAGTCCAACACCACATGCCTTGCTGGGTTTGTCCCTGCCCAGCTGAAGGCAGGCCCAGAACAGGGGCTCCTGTTTGCTGAACGGCCCAGGCACGGTTTGGGCTGGAAGGGACCATAAAAATCACCTTGTTCCACCCCAGCCATGGGCAGGGACACCTCCCACTGTCCCAGGCTGCTCCCAGCCCTGTCCAGCCTGGCCTTGGGCACTGACAGGGCTCCAGGGGCAGCCACAGCTGCTCTGGGCTCCCTGTGCCAGGGCCTGCCCGCCCTGCCAGGGAACAATTCCTAATTCCCAATATCCCAACTAACCCTGCCTTCCTTCATCTCCTTGTGCACTCCATGCACTCATACAGCCCCCGTACATTGAGTGGATCAGCTCCCAGATCTTTGGGAAGAAAAACATGGAATATTTTCCATGTGATCTCAGGACTGGTCACTGGTGCAGTTTAAACTTCTTGCAAATGAGATGTTTGAATTAAAAATTAAGTATGAACAAGCTTGGCTTTTAGACATCCCACTGAACTCAGTGTTCTTCAGCCCTTCAAAAAGTATGTAGTAACTTCTGAAGTTGAAAATTATTACATTTTCTCCCTAAATTTCCCTCCCAGCTGACTGGAATTGCAATTGGAGCTGCAGCCACACTGCTACTTGAAGTAGTTGTTCTGTTTGTCATGTATGGGATAAGGAGACTAATTATCAAGTACTTACCATGTAAGTTTTAAAACCAGTTTTTCCATCAATCTTGAGTCTTTTTGTAATTTTCTGTGGTAGTTGTTTGCTGCAGAGCTGTGGTTCTTGCAGGACAGCAGCTTTAAAGGATGGAGAACTTGTGCTGGTTCCCTCCCCCAGGTGTGAGCCCAGAAGTGTCACATGCAGGACCTGGAGGTTTTATTTCAGTGTCAGCCTCAGGACCAGCTGTGAATTCTGCAGATGAATTAAATCCTACTGTGATTTCACTGTCACAGATGGAGAAATGGTTGAATTAGAGGTTTCCTTGAGGAGATTAAAACCACCCAACCCTTCAGTCTGCCCAGAGAGCCCTTTATCTCCTCTGGGGCTGAGGTGGAGCCTCAAGGCAGCCCTGCCTGGGTCTGGCTTGGCCAGAGCTGGGGAGTGAGGGATCCCAGGTGGTTTAAACTCCAAACCCTGCCCACAGGAGCTGTTCTGGAGGCAGCCAAGTCCCCAAGCTGTGCTCAGGTGCTCTCCCAGCTGCTGAAGGTGGTTTCTGATGTGATGCTTCTGTTTCAGAACAACTTCAGCCACACGTGCCTCAGTACAGGTTTCGCAAGAGGGACAAAGTGATGTTCTACGGGAGGAAGATCATGAGGAAGGTGAGGGCACCTGGTGAAATCCAGTGTAAAGTGGAGAGATGTAAAGTTTGCAACACTTCACAGGCTGAGCCTGGCCCAGGGCCTTCAACCTATAAATGTCACTGGGATGTTGTGGATGTGTCAGAACTCCTGCAGTGCTGACTGCATTGCTGATGGAGCAGCAGCAGCTTCTCTTTCCGGCCAGACCTTTCCTCTTTCAAGAATATGGAATTGATTAAATGTCCCAGAATCCCAGACAGGTTTGGGTTGGAAGTGACCTTAAAGATCATCTTGTTCCACTACCCAGATTGCTCCAAGCCCCATCCAACCTGGCCTTGGGGACACTTCCAGGGATGGGGCATCCACAGATTCTCTGGACCACCTGTTGAATATTTGAGGGTTGTTCTTACCTGTTAAGGTGCCTAATTTCCCTCCAACTTCTGTCTGAGAAGATCAAAATGCTTCTTTGACTCCTGCCCTTGGTGCCTAAACTGAGAGATCTGGTTATTTTCAGCCTAAAATGTATTTGAGTTTGCCCAAATACCTGAGCTCTGAGCAGGGGCAGCCCTGCCCAGCCAGCCAGGGCTGCAGGGTGGGTGGCTCTGCCAGGGGCACAGGGGCTCAGCTCAGGGGGCAGTGACAGACCAAGAGGCAACAGGCACAGGATGCAAGGGAAAGACCCACCAGGCACAAGGATAAAGTTTTTCATGGGCACAGAACAGCTCTGGGACAGGGTCAGGGATGGCATTTCCAACCTTGGAAATTTTCAAAGCCCAGAGCACCCTCAGGGAACTTAGAAATCAGCTCAGCTTTAAGTGGGCATGTTGAGAAGGGACCTATAAAGGCTCCTCCCAGCCTAAAGCATCTGATTTTAACACTGAGATGAAAAAGCTGTTTATTGAAATGCAGCACCAACCAACAACCCCAGGCCCACTGAGGTCCCACCAGCACAAGGGGATTTGGGCCAGCACTTTTCCAGCATTTCCAGAAACTCCCTTCAAAAAATCTCTTTTTTTAATGGTCTGTGTCTGCCCCCTCCAACCCCAGGGGTCACATCCTCCCCAAAGAGCTACTGAACAGCCACACCAAAGTGTCATTTCTCAGGGCAGACACCTGGGTACATAAAAAGAAGTGGAAATTCACTTTTGTCAAGGTTATCATTAGAATTTATTGATATGAGACAAACTTTGTATGTCACCATGTCAATGGAGGAACAGCATGCCCACATGTCACAGAAGCCCAGAGCCCATCCAGGGACTCTCCCTGCCCTGGGAGCTCCCAGCTCTGGGGCACAGGAGACCACACACCCAGCTGGGTGGCACTGGGGACATTTCCTGAGGCAGGAATGCTCCAGAAATACCTTGGCTGAGAGGTCTGCCAGACTGCAGCACCCAGCAGGATCTGCTGGCTCTGACTCCAACAGGGAAGGGCAGCTCACCCCAAGCCACTCCAGTCACAGGGGCAAAAAAGAAAACCTAACAGGAGGTGAGATTCCAGGAATCCCTGCAGGGAGATTAGAGCACTTGGCCCCTCTGTCTCCTCAGCCCTAAAGGGGCTCAGAGGAGCAGATGGGGTGGGGACAGATCCCCAGCAGGACAGCCCAGGCATGGCTGAAGCCTTCCCAAGGAGAAGACACAGCCATGCCATGCTGCAGCCTGGCATCTGCCCATTCAGAAGCAGGGTTTTTCTTTTAGCACAATTATGCCTGTGTTGTAACCACTCAGACATTCCCCTCTCAGCAGTGCCCTCTCCCAGCACAGCCAACCTGTCATCTATGCTTGTGGCTATGATGAAAATTATCTTTATAATCTTTACTGGAAATACATTTTATGCTGGATTCTATTTAAAAAAAAAAAGCCAAGTGCTGAGCTTTCATCTTCTCTCAGCTTATGAAATATTTGGTTTGGTCCTAAGTATCTTGCTAAATGATTAGAGAGGGAATAGCAGAGTATTCCCCAGGCACCTGGTAAATCCACAATGGATTTATTGTAGAAATACACTAAATTCTCTAACTCACTCCAAATGGATTTCAGAGCCCTCTAAAACCCTCCAGAGAATGAGCTGTTTGTGACAGGACACACAAAAAGCAACCCCAAGTTCAATGAGTAACCGAGATAAAGGACAGGCCACAGCAGGGGACGTGCCAGCCCAGCCCCTGTGACAGGGCAGGGACAGCCTGGCCAAGGCACCAACCTGCTGCACACCTGGAGGGAACCTCAGGCTCCAGACACACACGTGTGACCTGTGTGCTCCTCTTGTCCCTCTCCTGGGAGCTGTGACAAGTGACAGAGAGGGTTCTGCTCTCAGCCATCTGGTTCCACCCAACCTAAGTTCCCTCTCACACGTAACAGCATTCATTTAGAGATCTCATATTGATGGGTAATTATACAGGATTAATTGCACATCAGTCCATTGTGGCTACAAGTTCATTAGGTTAATAACTCTACATAGTGACAGTAGTACAGTATCAGCTACTTCTCAATACAAACTCCCTAACCTAACCTTAATTTGTAGGTCAGAGGAAGACCTTCTAACACAGTGACCTCCCACTAACCTTTAACATTCATTTCAAAATCATTTTTTCTAGAAAACAAAAAAAAAATCCAGTGTGGGGAAAACGCACATATATAACCAAAGCAGTGCTTAACAACCACAGGAAAACAGAACATCATCTTGGACTCTTGTTTCAGCATCTTCTGTGGACCCTGGCAGTGTCACTCCCAAAGGGTTCCTCAATGCTCCGTCAGTTCCCAAGTCCATTAAACCATTTCCCAGCTCCAGATGTTTCTGGCCTCTCACCATTGTCTGTAGCAAGAGCACACAGAAACATTTGCTCATGTGCACAAGACTTCCATCAGATTCCATGGAAGAGCTCTGGAAGGCTGCAGCCTTTCCTTCCAGAAACCTGCTCTCGAGTGGCAGCACTCTCACCGACCGGTGCCTTCTCTTCCAGCCAGGAGAGAGCTCCAAGTCCCTCCAAGCTTTGCTCATTCCTTCTGCCCAAAGCTGTATGGGTATCCAACAAAACCCCTCTCACAGTATTCCCAGGAAATGATTCAGAAGAGGAGATGATTTTTCAACCAAATGAGATCCTCTGGTCCTGTGTGTCAGACCATGGCCAAGAGAATGAGCAGCTGCCATGGACGTCCCAACTGAAATAGTCAGGGAGGGGAGCGAGGTGGCCTGACTGTGAGGGACAGGCAAAGAGACCCCAAAGTCACTCTGTTCTCGAGTTTGCCTCTTTCCTAGAGTCAAATGTTTGATTCCATTTGTTCTAGCAGGAACTGGTGG